TTAAATTAACAGACAAAATACAACTGAACTATTCATCAAATACTTAAATACTGAATGAAGGCTCCGATTCGTACAAATTCACAACTATGCAGATGGTACTGCTGTTGATTGCCGCTGCTGCTGCTTGCTGTCTGTAGAAAAACACAGCAATTTCAAATTAGTTCAAGTTCAACATACATTTTATGGTAGAGTTACTTCTTTTTTTGTTTTTTCTTAAATTTTTGTTTGCATTGAATTTTATACAGACTCTTACTACTAACTGACGGCCCTATAATGGAGAAACAATTAAAACTACATACTAACAAAACGGTCAACGAATTTTGTCCGTCATTTAAGCTGCTTGCTCGGCTAGCTAGTTCCCGCGGTAGCGAAATAGCAACAAATATTTTAAGTATGAATAAAACAAAAAGGTGTTAAAAATCTTAGTGTACTAACTACTAAGAGTAGGGCATGTCATAGTTATTACTATAACTGTATACAGTGAAACCTATAAAGCTGACATAAACTAATCCAAAATTGTAATCCAAATGGACCCTGCTAATAATGTGTTTGTTATATAAAGAACTTGAAATATGAATTCATTTAACCTATTCATCAGACATAGACTAGACTATAGACTAGACTATATACTAGACTATAGACCAGACTATAGACAAGACTATAGACTAGACTATAGACTAGACTATAGACTAGACTATAGAGTAGACTATAGACTAGACTATAGACTAGACTATAGACTAGACTATAGACTAGACTATAGAGTAGACTATAGACTAGACTATAGACTAGACTATAGACTAGACTATAGACTAGACTATAGACTAGACTATAGACTAGACTATAGACTAGACTATAGACTAGACTATAGACTAGACTAGACTATAGACTAGACTATAGACTAGACTATAGGCTAGACTATAGACTAGACTATAGACTAGACTATAGGCTAGACTATAGACTAGACTATAGACTAGACTATAGACTAGACTATAGACTAGACTATAGGCTAGACTATAGACTAGACTATAGACTAGACTATAGACTAGACTATAGGCTAGACTATAGACTAACTATAGACTAGACTATAAGACTAGACTATAGACTAGACTATAGACTAGACTATAGACTAGACTATAGACTAGACTATAGACTAGACTATAGACTAGACTATAGACTAGACTATAGACTAGACTATAGACTAGACTATAGACTAGACTATAGACTAGACTACAGACTAGACTATAGACTAGACTATAGACTAGACTATAGACTAGACTATAGACTAGACTATAGACTAGACTATAGACTAGACTATAGACTAGACTATAGACTAGACTATAGACTAGACTATAGACGAGACTATAGACTAGACTATAGACTACTAGACTAGCACCTATAGACTAGACTATAGACTAGACTATAGACTAGACTATAGAATAGCTATAGACTATAGACTAGACTATAGACTAGACTAGACTATAGACTAGACTATAGACTAGACTATAGACTAGACTATAGACTAGACTATAGACTAGACTATAGACTAGACTATAGACTAGACTATAGACTAGACTATAGACTAGACTATAGACTAGACTATAGACTAGACTATAGACTAGACTATAGACTAGACTATAGACTAGACTATAGACTAGACTATAGACTAGACTATAGACTAGACTATAGACTAGACTATAGACTAGACTATAGACTAGACTATAGACTAGACTATAGACTAGACTATAGACTAGACTATAGACTAGACTATAGACTAGACTAGATAGACTAGACTATAGACTAGACTATAGACTAGACTATAGACTAGACTATAGACTAGACTATAGACTAGACTATAGACTAGACTATAGACTAGACTATAGACTAGACTATAGACTAGACTATAGACTAGACTATAGACTAGACTATAGACTAGACTAGACTAGACTATGACTAGACTATAGACTAGACTATAGACTAGACTATAGACTAGACTATAGACTAGACTATAGACTAGACTATAGACTAGACTATAGACTAGACTATAGACCAGACTATAGACTAGACTATAGACTAGACTATAGACTAGACTATAGACTAGACTATAGACTAGACTATAGACTAGACTATAGACTAGACTATAGACTAGACTATAGACTAGACTATAGACTAGACTATTAGACTAGACTAGACTATAGACTAGACTATAGACTAGACTATAGACTAGACTATAGACTAGACTATAGACTAGACTATAGACTAGACTATAGACTAGACTATAGACTAGACTATAGACTAGACTATAGACTAGACTATAGACTAGACTATAGACTAGACTATAGACTAGACTATAGACTAGACTATAGACTAGACTATAGACTAGACTATAGTATCGATATCAAAAATTATTGACAAACCTATATAATTTCGGTTACTTTTCTTACAGATCACCCTGAAACTGTATAATTTTTTAAATCAATTAATGCGTACGTACCGCTATGGCCAATAATAAAGACGTTAAAAAACCAACAACAAAAACTCTGTTTGTTTTATTTATAAGAAATACAAATTAAAGACAAAAGTCTGTTTTTTATACGGAATGGGAAGATTGCATCACATAGAGACAATATAGATAAATAAGATTTATATAGCAACAACACCAAAAATAAAAACATTAGCTATAAGAAATAAAACCTAAAATTTATTTAAATTTTTGTTTTGGAATCTGTTGGTTCCAAAAACTAACTTCTTTCTTTTACCTTAACCTACACTTACAAATACACTCACACACACACACACCCATAACATGTTGAGAATTACATAGATATGCTTATTAAATTATTCCAAAAAAATTAACAAAATAAAAGCATGGTGCTAAAGTTATTTAAAATATACAAATTTTGGTTCAAGATCTTAGATGAATTTAAACGATTTGCTTTTTTTGAATTTAATACAAACCATGTTAATTAACCTGCAGCTAAAAATTAACAAAACACGACAAACTTTAACTAATAATAACAATGAATTTCGTATTTTACATAAAAAACTTTAAATGATTTAATTTGATACAAAAAAATGCATAAACTTTGAAAGAAAAAGAATTATTTAAAACAAGTAATCTACTACTGAATGTCTGTCATCAGTCATTCACCGTTTGTGGAGTCAATAAACATTAATTGTTTGTATATTAATGATTATATTCAGACAATTGGTTGAATTATATTTCTTTTAATTGATTTTTATCAATGTAACTTTAACTACTTAGTTTCTTATTGTTATTTTTTTAAAGATAACATCGTGCGACAGCAATTATTGGACCTGGACGAGACCATATGCACTTGATACTAGAGGTCATTAGAAGTGAAACTGCGTTTTCAGTTTTTCATTTTGTGATCTTTTATCCTTTTTAAAGGACTTTAAACTTGTATGGAAATTTCTAAGACGCTCTAGCCATGTCAGTTCGTCTGTCTGTTGAAAGCACGATAGAGTCCGAATGAGAAGAGCTAAGGAGCTAGAATTTTGCATAAATATTTATACCCTACACCACTTTAGTGGGGAGGGTATATTGGATTTGTGCTGATGTTTGTAATCGTTTTCTGAGTCGATTTGGCACGCACGTTTTATTTGACCCAAGGACGAAGCCTATTGAAAATGGTTAAAATCGGTCCATTATTTCACCTAGCCCCCATAGAACAGAACCCCCCGAAAAGGGCTTCTGAGCTCATAATTATGTAAAATATACAGATATATCGATAAAATACGGCACAACTAAGTTTTATAGAAGTCTTGATGACCGTGCCAAATTTCATAAAGATCGGGCCCCATTTGACCCTAGCTCCCATACAAAGTCCCCTTCAGAAAATTACTTGAATGTCCCAAATTAACTTATAAACACAAATATCGCGATGAAATTCAGCACAATAAAATATTATGTAAATATAAATATATTCACAAAATTTTATCGGGCTTGGTCCATATTTGCCCCTAGCCCCCATATAAAGCCTCTTTCAGAAAATTAGTTTTTCATCCATAAATTGCTTAAATGTATCGGAACAAGGGAATATTGAAGATAAATGCTTTATTATGAAAAATAAATCACATTTAATATTCATAACTGGTGTAGGGTATCATATGGTCGGCCACGCCCGACTATACTTTCTTACTTGTTTTATTGATGCAGTTTGTGTGGTATTGCAAATGGGCCATATCGGTCCATGTTTTCGGATAGGCCCCATACAACTGAACCCCCCCTTTACAAATTTTAAAATAACACAGGCCAACAAAAGTAAAGGAAATGGTCTAAGCTTTCTTTGGAGTAAAAAAAGTCTGGCAGTTCTTGACTGATAGCGCTGAAAATTCGTGTCTGGCCTACTATCCAATAGTACTAACCTTGTTGCTAATAGCTTTCTTTTAATATACATATTGCTTATAAAATAACTTCAATATGTTTTCAACTATGGTCCATTTCACAAAAATATCGAATTTCATTTATTTTTTTCTAATTCTTAAACTAATTTTACGAATTTTGGTTAGATCTTATAGGAATTTATGAACAATAGGTTAGGCAAGAAAACTGTAAAAAAATTAGATTATCTGGATTCTTCCAGACCTTTATTTCAACCAATATTTGAATAGACGGACATAGAAAAGGTCTATCCAATACATAGACCTTTAAACAGAATGTTTCCTGTATATATACGATTTGAAATTTTCCCCTGATATTATTACTTCCATATCTTTTAAGAATTATAAAAAGATACTAGATCTATAAGGCCAACATTAAAAGAGATATTCTTGAAAATGTAATTTATATTGGTGTGCTTTATTTCTTAAATTAATGTCGATCAAAACAAAACGTTTTGAAAATAATCTTGTATAAATTAAAATCAATAAAAAAAATCTGCATTTTAATCTAAACAGATGTACATAATGTTAATTAACTTAAAACTGATAAATATATTTATATAATAATCCTTTGAAAATGATATAAGATCAATTCACTTTTAATCAAATTCCAATTTTCGAAAACTTCCTTGTATTGATTCGATTTGCGACACGAAAGTAGGTTGTCCACTGCTCTTTTCGGCATTATAAGAACTCTTACGCTGTATACCACGATCACTAAGCAGTCTAATTTCATCTAATTTAAGAATAACATCACGTTTTTCCTTTAATTCTTGTTTCCATAATTCTATCATTTCATTAAGAGGCATTTTGCCACCCAACTCCAAGGGCAAACATTCGGAATCAATAGCTTTGGTTAAATCTTTATCGTTTGTATGGATAGTAAGACGATTGCGTATTTTTGCACTAACACGATTTTTAGCAAAATCTATCAACCATTTAAGGGCAGAGGGTACATTTACCAAATGTATCTCTTTATGTCTTAAAGGCAATGACTGTTCGCCCCATTTGAAGAGCCGAGCAAATTCTGTGGGATTCCAGTTGGTAACATGAGCGGTGGTTACGCCTGAGAAATCACCCACATGTGTTAAACCCAAAACTTGGGTCTGAGGATCTTCCATGAGATATTCATAGGTTAAGAAATGAGCTTTGGCCTGATCCATGCTGCTATATTTCTTGGCATTAAAACCTTTGGCACTGGTAATCACAACACGTCTTCCATTCTTATCACGTTTGGGTGTGGCTAATATATAACCACTGCTGAGAACTTCATAAATTTTTTCATCATTCAAATCTAATTGTGTAGTATATTCAGGAAATGTACGCTTGACATTGAGGTATTTGAGTAGTGTTTGTTCAGCCATGGGTACACTAAACTTTTTGGCTCTCAAGAAACGCAACAGAAAATGATCATCCATACGCATATTGAGTATATCTTCGTTTTTCGTTAACCAATTGCGAAATTGTTCTAAACTTTGTTCACGTGTACATTTATCTTCACGTAATTCACGTTTTGCTATTTTCAATAGAGCCTCAGAAAGTACGGTTTCATTTTGATCGACAGTTGGTTTCATGTTGATGGGGGGTTAAGTTTAGGACGTAATGTAAATCTGAAATTCTGAAAACTGAATTTAATATACTATATGAACTCGGAATATATACATATATTAGACTAGACTATAGACTGAAGAAAAGACTAATCTATAGAATAGACTATGTACTATATAGGCTGTAGTCTGTAGACTATATATCAAAAGTTTATAAGTTAGAAAAAGTAGCGAAAGTATAGTGGAGGTATCGCAGTATTTTACGATATCAAAATATAGTGAAAAAAGTACTAAAATACTGAGTTTTCCATGCCTAATGTATGACGAACCTGTATAATTTCGGTTACTTTTCTCACCGATCACCCTGAAACTGTATAATTTTTTTAATCAATTAATGCGTACGTACCGCTAAAAACCAACAACAAAAACTCTGTTTGTTTTATTTATAAGAAATACAAATTAAAGACAAAAATCTGTTTTTTTGTACGGAATGGGAAGATTGCATCACTTAGAGACAATATAGATAAATAAGATTTAAATAGCAACAACACCAATAACAAATAAAACCTAACATTTATTTAAATTTTTGTTTTGGAATCTGTTGGTTCCAAAAACTAACTTCTTTCTTTTACCTTAACCTACACTTACAAATACACTCACACACACCCATAACATGTTGAGAATTACATAGATATGCTTATTAAATTATTCCAAAAAAATTAACAAAATAAAGGCATGGTGCTAAAGTTATTTAAAAATACAAATTTTGGTTCAAGATCTTAGATTTTAAACGATTTGCTTTTTTTTTTGAATTCAATACAAACCATGTTAATTAACCTGCAGCTAAAAATTAACAAAACACGACAAACTTTAACTAATAATAACAATGAATTTCGTATTTTACATAAAAACTTTAAATGATTTAATTTGATACAAAAAAATGCATAAGCTTTAAAAGAAAAAAGAATTATTTAAAACAAGTAATCTACTACTGAATGTCTGTCATCAGTCATTCACCGTTTGTGGAGTCAATAAACATTAATTGTTTGTATATTAATGATTATATGCAGACAATTGGTTGAATTATATTTCTTTTAATTGATTTTTATCAATGTAACGGTCCCTAAATTCTAAATTCTGCTGATCAATACTGTAAATATAATACATTAACAGTTAACATTACACATAACATTTTAAAATTTATTTTAGATTTGGATCAATGGGAAACATGGAAATAATGAACAAATCATTCATAATTGTATGGATACCGGTGTTATTATTAGTTCCCCTGCAGAAAACTGATGTCTATTAATTTTAACGAACTAATATCATAACTTGTATTAAAGCGAAATGTAATTTAGATAACTAGTAGTTAATTTTTAAATATATTTAATTAAAATTTAATTAATTAATACAGTAGGGAATACAAAAGAAAACTATTACTTGACTTTTCTGCAACTAACTTTAAGTTAGTTAATAAAGAGTTACCTTTAAGCTAATTTTTTAGTAACTAACTTTAAGCTAGTTGAAAAGTCATGCAGAGTCGGACAATTGACTACTGCGTAGGACATCGCCATGTTAAAATAGTCAGTTGGCTCCATTAAAAATAATCCAAGAATCAACCATAACTAGTTGATGAAAAACTCAGCTTTTAATGCATTTAAAGTTAGTTGAGTTGCTGGCAGGGATGTTGAGAATTACATAGATATGCTTATTAAATTATTCCAAAAAAATTAACAAAATAAAGGCATGGTGCTAAAGTTATTTAAAAACAAGTAGGAAAGTATAGTCGGGTATGCACGACCATATAATACCCTACACCAAAGAATATAAAGAAATTGGGGCTTGTCAGTTGGTACGTAAAGGAGTTGTCATTCGGTACCTAACTCTAAGTATGTATTGGTAGAATTTTTGTATTAGTATTGGAGCTCCAACCACTTTCACCACACTTTCCAAACATACATACTTGCATAAAATCGTACATAAAAATTTTAGGAAAAATAAATAACATTTAAATTTCTACATTCGCAGATTTTTTAATTTATTTTGTCTACATCTAATCAGTAAACATTTAATAAATATATTTTTCGGACTTAAAATCTCTTTTTTTGCAAAAAAATAAGTTTATTTTAAATAATTTTTTCATTTTCAATACCAAAATATACAACTTTGTTTTGTCAATTTTAATTTCAACACACAAAAATTAATTGTCACAAAAATTAAAAAAAAAAATTTTTTAGTTTGTGAAAAATAAAAATATTTCGGATTGTTAAATGCGATAAAATTGTGTAAAAAATTAAAAAATAGTTATGTGTTTGTGAAAAAACGTCGTTCAAGTCCTATTATCCCGGTATTTTCGCGAAAAAGTTTTGAAGTATTGTGAGAGAATTGAGTTCTCACAAGTGTGTTGAATTTACACAGAACTCGTCTGTGAAGAGAAGGAAATGTTATTGTTGTAAAACAATGTCATAGTCCAACTTCTTATTATTCTTTGCCCTACACCATGAGTATATTTTACAAATTTTTATTTTTCACAAGAAACTTTTATGTTGAATTTTACCTTAATTCCAAAGTATTTAAGCAATTTATTGATAAAAAAACAAATTTTCCAAATGAGGCTTTATATAGGAGTATAGGTCAAACATGGGCCGATCCACATTAAATTTGGGAACAGGATGAATTTTTAAATAATAGTTAATTATGTTGAGTTTCATTGCGATACAAATGGTTACAAGTCAATTTTAGACGTTTAAGACATTTTTTGAAGCGGGGTTTGTATGGGGGCTAGGGTCAAATAAGGGCCGATCATTACGAAAATCTGCAGTGTCATTTATACTTATATAAAACTTATTTGTGCCAATCTTTAGAGAGATAATAGCATATTTGACGTAATTAGGGCATAAAAAGCCCAAATCGGGAGGTACGGTTGTATGGGGGCTATGTGAAATAATGGACCGATTTCAACCATTTTCAATAGGCTTCGTCCTTGTGCCAAAAAACATGTTTGGTCCAAATTTCATCAAATTATCTTGAAAATTGCGGCCTGTACCTTGCGCACAAGGTTTACATGGACAGCCAGCCGGACAGACGGACGGACGGACGGACATGTCTTAATCGACTCAAAATGTGATTCTGAGTCGATCGGTATACTTAAAGGTGGGTGTAGGACCAATATTTTTGTGTGTTACAAACATCAGCACAAACGTATAATACCCTCCCCACTATAGTGGTGTAGGGTATAAATACAAATTTTGGTTCAAGATCTATGATGAATTTAAACGATTTGCTTTTTTTGAATTCAATACAAACCATGTTAATTAACCTGCAGCTAAAAATTAACAAAACACGACAAACTTTAACTAATAATAACAATGAATTTCGTATTTTACATAAAAACTTTAAATGATTTAATTTGATACAAAAAAATGCATAAACTTTGAAAGAAAAAGAATTATTTTAAAAAAGTAATCTACTACTGAATGTCTGTCATCAGTCATTCACCGTTTGTGGCAAAGAATATAAAGAAATTGGGGCTTGTCAGTTGGTACGTAAAGGAGTTGTCATTCGGTACCTAACTCTAAGTATGTATTGGTAGAATTTTTGTATTAGTATTGGAGCTCCAACCACTTTCACCACACTTTCCAAACATACATACTTGCATAAAATCGTACATAAAAATTTTAGGAAAAATAAATAACATTTAAATTTCTACATTCGCAGATTTTTTAATTTATTTTGTCTACATCTAATCAGTAAACATTTAATAAATATATTTTTCGGACTTAAAATCTCTTTTTTTGCAAAAAAATAAGTTTATTTTAAATAATTTTTTCATTTTCAATACCAAAATATACAACTTTGTTTTGTCAATTTTAATTTCAACACACAAAAATTAATTGTCACAAAAATTAAAAAAAAAAATTTTTTAGTTTGTGAAAAATAAAAATATTTCGGATTGTTAAATGCGATAAAATTGTGTAAAAAATTAAAAAATAGTTATGTGTTTGTGAAAAAACGTCGTTCAAGTCCTATTATCCCGGTATTTTCGCGAAAAAGTTTTGAAGTATTGTGAGAGAATTGAGTTCTCACAAGTGTGTTGAATTTACACAGAACTCGTCTGTGAAGAGAAGGAAATGTTATTGTTGTAAAACAATGTCATAGTCCAACTTCTTATTATTCTTTGGTTTGTGGAGTCAATAAACATTAATTGTTTGTATATTAATGATTATTTTCAGACAATTTGTTGAATTGTATTGATTTTTATCAATGTAACTTTAACTAGTTTCTTGTTGTTATTTTTTTTAAGATAAAGGAAAATACATAAAATAAATACATACATATGTATTTATAATTTTTATTTAACTCGTTGACGCTCGTTGACTCAAAAAAATGATGAATCTACCAAGATGCACACTTAATTTTTGAAAAATTTTAGTATTCCTTAAAATTTCACGGGTACAGCCCGAATATAAATTTTAATTAAAAATGTTGTTGATATTATAAAACTATATTACTTTATGGTTTAAAAATATTTGTTATACTCCGATTTATAGTGAAATCAATATGGAGAAAAATAACACTATATGACGTCTATAGCCGTCATTTACCTCAACGTGTTAAAATTATTAACAATTTATTGTTGTTTACAAGAAGGTCATTGTCCACAAAAGTCGTGTGAGTGTTTTTTTTTTTTGCTTCGCATTTTTGAGATCATCTTTTTTGACGAAGAAAAATATTGGAATTATTTAAACAATTTACATATTTAATATTAATGTGTTTGTAAAAAGGGTGTCTTATGCATTATACATAATATTTAAATTTTTATTTTCTTTTACTTAATTGTCGTGTCTTTTAGCAAAAACTGTGTTAATTATTTGTTTGTTTTAGAAAACATCTTAAATTTTTTAATTTTTAATGGCATTGTTAATGAGATACACTGTATCAATTGGGTTCTAACATATACTAATTAAGTTTTTAAAAGTAGGTCTACTAGTTTTCTATTTCTTTTTTTAAAACTCCATATATAA